TGGGCCAGTGCTGCAGGGGGCTGGGGCGCTGGGAGGAGGGGAGCAGCACAGCGGCGCCTCTGCCTGGCCTGCAGGGGTGGGGGCGGTGCAAGGCCCCAGGCTGGACGGGTCATCGGAGGGCGCTGTCTCCCCAGAGCGGACCAGGCAGCTCCTGTTCCGCGGGGCCAAGGCCTGCACGGACCACGCGTGGGAGGAAGGCTGCGCCGTGGTGGACCTGCCAGAGTCCCCGAAGCCGGGGCCCATGGAGGCCCCCCGGGCCACGCGCGGGCAGATGCTGATCGGACCGGACGGCCGCCTGACCCGGAGGGGAGCCCCGGCCTTCGAAGCCGGTGAGTGAGGCCGGCCGCGGCCGGGGACTGAACAGCCTCCCTGCAGGGGCAGGAGCAGACCCCGGGGGCCCACGAGCCCCCCTGCTCCCCTGCAGCTCCGAGTCCTGTCTGCGTGGGCACAGCCTGGCCGCCTGTCTGCGTCTCGGGCTGACACCCCGGGCCTGGCGGGACCCAGGAGCTCTGTTCATCTGTGACGTGGGCCGCACAGTGAGACGCCGGACGAAGGCCGAGACCCCCAGTGCAAGCAGGGCCAGCTGGCCCCTCGGCGCAGGCACCCAGAGCTGGGGTTCGGTAGCAGGAGCCCAAACCCCCGGGCCTCCCTCGCGGAGCGGGGCTGAGTGGGGACCTGCTCAGGTGGCCGGGAGGGTCCAGGGCGGTCAGGGGCGTGAGGAGGTCGGCCTGTCCTCGGGGAGGCCGTGCCCCGCCCCCAGCGCTGCAGCCCCGCCCGCTGACCGCCGGCACTTCTTCCCCACAGACGCGCCTGGGGCGGCGCGCCGAGCCTGCTCCTCGTGCGTGCGCGCGGCGGACGGAGCGGCCTGCGGCCAGTGTGAGCGCGCCCTGTGCGGCCACTGCGTGCGCACCTGCGGCAGCTGCGGGGCCGTGGCCTGCACCCTGTGCGCGCTCCTGGAGTAAGTGTTGGATGTTGGGGGGGCGGGGGGTTGGGGGGGGTACAGCCGGGGTTGGGCGTGTGAAGACCGTGGTCCGTCACCGGGAAACCGACGTCACGGTGGCCGGCTCGTCCCCGTGCAGCCTGGGTCTGAGGCCGCGGGGTCGGTCCTCCCGCCCGGCATGAGGACTGCGCGGCTCCCACGCGGGCTCTCCCCGCTGAGCGCCCCGACCCCGGGCAGCAGGTGCGCGGTGCTTGCCGCCGCCTCGGGCGTGTGTGAATGCGGGAGTCCCTCCCCCCCAGCGGCTGTGCGGTGAGAAGACACGTCCCCGTCTCGGAGCAGGTCTGTAGGCCTGTGAGTAGCTTCGGCCGACAGCCTTGAAGCCAGCCTTGGGGAGTCGGGCTGTCTGATGGCTCAGAAAGCCGGGGTGGCCCCAGGGCAGCTCCCAGGGACGGGACCAGAGACTGGGGCCCTCGCTGGTGTGGCTCAGTGGATAGAGCGTCGGCCTGCGGACTGAAGGGTCCCGGGATCGATTCTGGTCAAGGGCACTGCCTGGGTTGTGGGCTTGATCCCCAGTGTGGGGTGTGCAGGAGGCAGCCGATCAATGATTCTCCCGTCATTGATGTTTCTCTCCTCCCTTTCTCTCTGAAAAAAAATAAAAGTATATTTTTTTAAAAAGAGAGACGGGGGGACACTTGCGCCGTCCAGTCTGGAGGCTGTGGCTGGTTCTGGCTGGCGAGTTATGAACGTAACTGAGTGGCACCGCTTAGTTCTGTTTGTGTGTGAACCAAAGGGCAGGGCCTCCTGGCCAGTGGCCTCCTCGCTTGAGGACAGCAGCCCGGCAGAAGGGCAGGTAGAGGGCGACCCCTGGGCTGGAACCTTCCTCCTGCCGCAGTGTCCTCGCCGGACCCCTGCGCATGTCCTGCCAGCCTCTCCTTCCCCTTCCCGCTGCCCACAGAATTCACGCTGCCCGGTCAGCGGGCCTCGGGCCTCGTGGCCACAACCAGGGCTGGGCTGTCTGCTCCAGGCCATGAGGCCGACTCCCGTCCCCAGGCTTGGGACCCAGACCGTGGCCTCTGCCACAGCCTCTGCCCCTCGCCAGCTGCGCAGGCGTGTCCCGCCCACACCTCCTAGTCCTGGGGCTCCCAGCTCGGGGCTGGCTGGGGCTGGGCTGGGGCTGGTTTGTGGCTCCCCGGCCAGAACCAGCCAGCCCGCGGCTCTGAGTTCTCGGTGACGGCGTGGACTCCGCAGCTCTCCTTGGTTTCCTGTAGACCAGCGGTTCTCAACCTGTGGGTCGCGACCCCTTTGGCGGTTGAATAACCCTTTCCCAGGGGTCGCCTAAGACCATCCTGCATATCAGATATGTACATGACGATTCATCACAGTAGCAACATGACAGTGATGAAGTAGCCACGGAAATAATTGTATGGTTGGGTCACAGCATGAGGAACGGTATTTAAAGGGCCAGAAGGCTGAGAACCACTGCTGTAGCGCGTTGCCAGTCTCTGGCCTTTCGGGACCCCTCTGATGAGTTTCCCCGCCGTTACCTTACTTGATGTGAGCCACCTGGTCCAGTAACCCCTCACGACTCCTGGGAGGTTCTGTGGGGTCCCCATCCCGTTAGACACACAGGTTGGACCCTAGGCAGCTCATTGGCTGTCTCGGTCCACGTACTTGCTGGTCTTTGCCCTCACGCTCTGGGGGGGAAGTCTGGGATGGTGGCGGGTGGTTCCTCCAGAGGCTGTGAGAAGGAAGGGCCTGCTCCCCACCTGTCCCACCTCCCGGGGCTGCCGCACGCTGGGGGCTCCCGCATCCTGGCGTCATCCCCCTCCTCCGTGTGTTCACTCAGGACACCCGCCTGCAGGGGGCCCCGTCCTAGCTCACTACCTCTGCAGCGAACGGCCCCATCTCCCAGTCAGGTCTCTGGCCTGGGGTAGCACCTCCATATGTAAACGGGGGGACACAGCTTAGCCCCTAACCTAACGCCCGCTCTTCTCTCCTCCCTGCGATGTTGCAGCTGCAGTGACGTCCACGAGAAAGTGCTCTGCGCCAGCTGTGCCATGTTCGAGGCCTGAGGGCCCAGCGGACGTGGCCTTCCAGGCAGGACGGCCTCCCGGTGCGGACACAGAGGGACTGGGGGGGCGGGCAGCTTTCTGTTGGATGTTTTGTACTGATGACTGAATAAATCGTATATATTTGGACGAGAGGACTTGCTTATGTTAACAGTCCTGGGGGTGCGGCCTCCTGGTCCTGTGACCAGCAGGTGCTGGAGGGGCCCACGGAGGAGCCAGGGCCTCCGTGCCACTCTGGCAGCTCACTCAGCGTCCGCTGAGCTTCGCGCAAGCCGCGTGCCTGGTCACCCCACTTTACAGACGGGAAATGGAGGTCCAAGTGCACCACCTACCAGCCACCCGCCGGTCCTGGTGAGGAAAGCTTTGAGCCCAGGTCGTCTGACTCCAGAGCGGGTGACATTGTGCCAGCGCAGCCCGGGGAGAGGGTGGGTCACGTCCAGACTTCTCCTGAAATGTCACCGTGACACCCCCTGGGTGGCCCCCAACGTGGGCAGTCCGGTGCGGAAGACCATCTGTTTCCATTTCCTGCCCCTCGGGGCCGGCCTTGGGGAGGGCAGGTCTGGGTGGGGGACACAGGAGGGACTCCCCCTGCTGGCCCTCACTGCCCGACAGCCCCAGGCCACAAGTCAGCAGGCCTGGCCCTGGCAGCACAGTGCCCAGGAGTTCTCTCTCCCAGGTGCCTGTCTCCCCAGACAGTGCTGCAGGGGGTCCTGCCTGGGAGGGGACACGAGATAAGGTCATGCCTGTGTCCATGCCTGTGACCTGGAAGCCTCTCCAGGCCGGAGGAATATCCCGAAGGCATCTCCCCACCCCAGCACAAAGCGGGTCCTGTGGGAGGGAGCCAGTCACACCCTTGGCCCGGCCAGCGGCCCCCACCTGACCCCCGGCTCCAGCTCTGAAGGCTCCTCCCATTTTCATACCACACCTGCCACCTGCTCGGAGCCTGAAGCTAGTGGAAGGGTGTGGCGGTGTGTCCTGTGTCTGCAATGTATCTCCCTTCCCGATGGTGTGAACATACAGAGCACCATCTTCCCATTTGTAAGGGCACAGTCATGCTCCCCGTCCTGCACAGCTGGCCTGTCCCCGTTACCCCCCCCCCCCCAGCCCGGCGGCACCACCTGCTGTGTCCCAGTGGCTCTGACCTCCAGGGACCTCACGAGTGGGTCCCCCAGCACAGGGCCCGTCCTTCCGTGTCTGGCTTAGTTCACGGAGCACGACACGGTCCCTCTGGGAGCAGGTGGCGTGTGTCCGTCCTGAGGCTGAGCACTTCCCGGGGTGCGGACGGGCCAGACCGTTACCCAGTCCTCGTCCCGGACACCCAGCTGCATCCACATCTCCGCGCTGAGGCTGCTGCCGCTGTGGACGTGGGTGCAGTGTCTCTGGGGGCCCCTTCAGTTCTTTGGGGGGGCGGGGGCGGCAGAGGTGGGATGGCTGGGTGGATGGTCGTTGAGGTAACTGCCTGAGGGTCCTCGCTGCTCTCCGGGGGCACAGGCCCCGCTGACGGGCGTTTCTTCCCTGGACCCTGGCCTCCCTCAGCTGTGACCTGCTGCTTGTGGTGGCGTCACTGCTGTGCTGTGACCCACGGCCGGTCAAAGCCGAGGGAAGAGGGCCACCGAGGACTGGGACGCCCCCACCCGGGGCACCCTGCAGGGGGCGCCCACCCACTTAGGGTGAGGAGCCAGGTCCTCTGGGCCCTGCCTGCCAAGCGCTGACACGGTTAGGGCTGGGTGGCGTTCCTCTCCTCGCCACCAGGTGGCGCCCGAAGCCCGCCCTCCTGGGGGTACGGAGGGAGGGGGGGGGGCCAGCCAGCTCTGGGTCCTACAGGGTCCCTCCTGGCCGTCAGATGACGCCTGGGCACGGGGCCAGGTGGGACAGGGACCGTCAGGACACCCCCTCCAGCAAGTCTATGTGAGCTGGGGAGTCACCTCCCTCAGAAGCTGTCTGGGTGTCAGGGCCCGGACGGGGTGCTCCCCACAAGCAAAACAAGCCACGACGTTGAAAAGCCGTTTTTATTGAGGAATTCGGAGGGAAGTCTCATAATAGTAAAAATACTAAAGTTGATGTAAAAAAACGCCATGGTGCAGCGCAGTGTCTGGCTGGGCGGCGGGAGAGAAGCTAGGAGGACAGGACAGGCGCTACCGGGGAAGCACGGGCGGGGGGCGGGGAGGGGACGGGGGGATGGGGGGACGGGGGGCTCTTCTCTAAGATGAGCCCCGAACGCACATGGACAGCGCACACAGTGACGGGCTCAGCCGCCTGCTCCGCACGGTCCTCGCCTGCCGTCGCCCTGGGCTGCCCCTGGCCCACCCGAGGGGAGGGGGGACAGCTGACAGCCAGGGACAGGTGGCGGGAGGGGCCGGGGAGCGGGCAGGGGCCACCGGACCCCAAAGTGCACGTGGCTGCTGCAGTCCTCAGCGTTTCCTACCGGAATCCGTCCGGAGGCGAGGCCACATCTGGAGAACTGGATGAAATAAATTAAGAAAAACCGCAGGACCTCCCCTGCGCGTGCGGACAGCCCTGCCCACGGCACCGAGGTCCTCGCGCTGGAGGAGCGTGGTCCCTCCATCGCCTCCAGAGAGAAACATTGGCTCCAGATCGGCGCTGCGGGCCCCTCCCGACCCACGGAGGCGGCGTCCAGCCTGTGGCGCCCGCGGGTCACCAGCACCGGGCTGGCCTCCTCAGGCCGTGCCGCTGGCCGAGTAGGAGAACTGCGGGAAGTGGGGCCTCCGCTCGCTGTCCACACACTCCATGTTGTCGTCTGCGGGCAGGGAGGACAGGGAAACTGAGGCAGGCCCCTGAAGGCTCCAGACTCGCTGACCCCGACCCTCCCATGCCGGGAACAGGGGAGTGGCCCTCCCTCCCGCCCCATCAGCACCCTCCAGAGGGGACCCTTCCCATCAAAGCCGAGGCCCAGGCCCGGGCAGGGGACCCTGGTTCCGTTGTTTTGGGGGGAGTCGGGGAGAGCGGCCCTCACCTTGGTCCGGGGGCGTGATGGTGATCATCTGGGCTGTGAACTCCTCGTCAAAATACCTGGTGTCCGTCTCCGAGGTGACCTGGGGCTTGAAGGGCGGGCTGAGCTGCGGGGGCAGGTGGGTGGGGGCGGGCAGGTCACAGACTGGCCCTGCACCCCCACCGCCACCCCAGGGAGCTGAGCCCACGCACTGTCTCCAGGGGTGGAAACTGCCGCCCGCCCACAGCAGGACTGGGAGGGGGACTGCAGGCAGGATGGCTGTCCCCGCCCAGGAGCCCCTCCTGCAAGGGTAGGGTGAGGCTGCGCACAGCCGCCTCTGCAGGCGACGGGAGGTAGTGCAGCCAAGCTCTGCAGCCCACCCCCCACACACTCCCCCAGGCTCTCAGGCAAGAGAAGAGCGCCCACTTTTCTTTCCCCCTAACTTTCTTCCTTCCCTTCCTGGTCTTCTTATAAACCGGGAAGGGGACAAGGGCCCCTGGAAAGGTGTGCAGGGGACGGGCCTGCTCGGCCCAGCTGCCGGGGGCTCCCCCTTGATAATCAGGATGGAGGGACAGACATCCCCGTGGTCCTTGACCCACTTGGGCTGTTGAGCGGCGTCCCGTGTGGGGGCCTTGCCTCCCCCAGGCCCAGGGAGCAGCGGGTCTCCCAGTCACCACGGCACCTTCAGCGCGCGGCCCCAGGGACGGGCACCCCTCGCAGGCGCACAGGCACCGGCTCCTCCGGGGAACACGGGCCCCGCACGGCGATCGGGGACCAGTGCAGCCACCCGCCCGGGGAGGCACGGGCGTGAGCAGGAGAGTGGGTGCACAGGCGAGCGGGGGCTGTGGGCGTGTGAGCGGTGGACGCGGGGGGCGTGTGGTGACTGAGCGGGTGGGCGTCACCTTCTTCTCGTACACGTCCTGCCACACGATGCTGGCGAAGAAGCGGTGCTGCATGATCTCCTTGGCGTCCTCAGAGCCGCCGCCGAGCCTGCGGGGCCAGGCCCGGTCACGCACGCCTGCCCCCCCCCTCCCCCCGGTGGGCACACCCACCAGCCCCCTCCGAGCCTGCGGGGCCCAGTCACGCACCGCCCGCCCCCCGCCCCTGTCGGCACACCCACCAGCCCCCTCCCGGGGTGAGGCTGGGCCGCCGGACAGCGCCGCACAGTGCGGGCCAGACAGTGCGGTCAGTGCGGGGGACACGCCCGGGGCGGGGGACTCAGTTCTCTGGCTGAGCCCCCGCGGGGACAATGCTGGGGGCAAGAGCGGCCGTGGGTGGAGTGGGTGGGGCTTCCTGAGCAGGTGTGGGGGCCACAGCGGGCCCGGGACCCACCGCCTCCGCCTGCCCGCCGCTGCCCCGCCGTCCTCCCGCGCCCACCTCTGCTTGGGGTCCTTCCTGAGCAGCCCCGACAGCAGGGCCTTGGCCTCGGGGCTGAGCGTGCGCGGGAAGCGGATCTCCTCCATGAGGATGAGCTCGAACAGCTTCTCGTGGTCCTGGTTGTAGAAGGGCAGGCGGCCGCACAGCATCTCGTACATGACCACGCCCAGCCCCCACCAGTCCACGGCGCGGCCGTAGTCGTTGTCCTCCAGCACCTGCCGGACACGACGGCCCACGGTCACGGACGCCCAGACGGCACCGGCGGGGCTCGGGCGGGAAGGGGTGGGGCGGGGCTCGGGCGGGAAGGGGCGGGGCTCGGGCGGGAAGGGGCGGGGCTCGGCGCGCACCTCGGGGGCCAGGTACTCGGGGGTCCCGCAGAAGGTCTTCATGGTGGCCCCGTCCTTGATGCCCTCCTTGCACAGCCCGAAGTCCGTGATCTTGATGTGCCCGTCCTTGTCCAGCATCAGGTTCTCCAGCTGCGGGTGGGGGGGTGTCTCCGGTCAGCACCCGCCGCCCGCGCCCCAGCCCCGCCCGCTCTCCCCTCCCGCCCCGGCCCCGCCCCTCCCGCCCCGGTCCCGCCCTCCCCAGCCCCTCCCCTCCCGCCCCAACCCCGCCCTCCGAGCCCCGCCCACCTTGAGGTCCCGGTAGACCACGTTCTTCTCCGAGTGCAGGTAGTCCAGGGCCGACACGATCTCGGCGCCGTAGAAGCGGGCCCGGTCCTCGGGGAACACCCGCTCGCGAGACAGGTGGAAGAATAGCTGCGGGGAGCCGAGCCTCGCACCACGCCCGCCGCCCGCCACCCCCGCCCGCCGCCCGCCACCCCGCACAGGCGGGGCCCTAGGGGGGAGGGGCGGACCCTAAGGGGGAGGGCGGGGCCCTAAGGGGGAGAGGTGAGCCCAAGGGGGCGGGGCCCTAAGGGGAGGGCGGGGCCCTAAAGGGGGGGCCCGCGGCAGCCTACCTCGCCGCCGTTGGCGTACTCCATGACGAAGCAGAGGCGGTCGTGCGTCTGGAAGGAGTACTTCAGGGCCTGCAAGGGGCACAGGCTGGATCCACGCCCGCTCCCCCCATAGGCCCGCTCGGGGGATGGGCGATGTGAGGCTGGGCCAGGTTTCGGGGCGTCTCAGAGGCTGGCAAGTTCCCTGAACACGGAGGCTCCCCCATAGGGCCGGCCTCGGCCAGACAAGGGGAGGATGCGCCCTCCAGGCACCGCTGCCTCTGGCTCCACCCACTGGGGCAGCCTCGCTCTAAAGGGCAGACGTGCCCACCTCTCACCCACAGGCACCGCCCTGGACCCAGTCAGTGCAGAGGAGGCCAGCATAGGGCTGAGCGGAGGGCCAGGGCCCCCGGGGGGAGCTGGGCCCCCAAGACCCTGGAGGAGAGGGGTCGCCCGTGCCGCCAGGAGCTGGCTGAGCTGGGAAACCAACTTCCAGCTGATTCCTTGTCCCACAGGCTAAGGATTTCCCCCAAACTCCTCCTGGGCCAGTACCCCAGCACAGGGGCCCCTGGCTGGGACCCCACCCGGCGGAGCAAAGGGGGCCCCAGGTCACCTGCCCCTTCTGCACACGGGGCAGCGAGCACAGCGTCAGGGAGCACCCCGTGACCCCAGAGGCCGGCCCGCTGCTGCCAGGCTGCAGCCAGGAGGCCCCCAGCTCCCCCGCCAGTCCTCAGCCCGGGGCACAGAGGGCCGCACTCTGCCCTGGCGCCCAGGTGGCCTCGGGTGGGGGCCACTCACCGTCAGGAAGGGGTGCCGCGAGTTCTGCAGGACTCGGTTCTCCGTGAGCGTGTGCGCCACCTCGTCCTGGAAGACGGGCTGTGAGCGCCTCCCACCTCTGGGCTCCGCCCCGCCCCCCTCCCGGGCAGCACCGACCTTGGCCACGATGACCTCCTTCTTGAGGATCTTCATGGCGTAGTAGCGGCCGGTGGCCTTCTCCTTCACCAGGATCACCTTCCCGAACGTGCCTTTGCCCAGCAGCTTCAGGTACTCAAACTCGTTCATGGTCTGGGGGCGGCGGGCGGAGTCAGGGCACCGGGCTGGCCCGGGGCTCTGCACCCCAACTCCGAGCCCTGGGGTTCGGGGGATGGTGGGAGTGACAGCGCCCAAGCCTCCTGGAACCCCAGCGTCCTCCCACTCTACCCAGGGCTCTGGTGGTCAGACTGTGCACAGGAGGAGGGGGGTCCCGGGCGTCGGGCTGCAGAGGGGAGCGGGCCTCACCACCCGGTGCTTGGGTTTGGCCAGGGACACCTCCATCTCCTCAGCCCCCGAGTTGTCGCTGGGCGAGCCCGACCGGAAGTCCATCATCTCCTCCTCCTGCCTCTTGAGCCCATCGGCCACCGTCTGGATGGCAGTCGTCCACTCCTCCCTGCGGGCGGTCAGCGAAGGTCTAGCCTAGCCCTACCCAGGCTGGGCCTCGCCCCCACCCATCCGAGGCCCCAGGAGGCGGCTGCCCTGGGATCTGCATCCCCTCCCCACAGCCTGGGAGCACAGGGAGCGAGGGGCGAGCACCCACCTCGCCCGCCCCCTCCCCCTGCCCCCGCCCCGTCCCCCTCCGGCCCGCGCCCGCCCTACCGCTCCTCGGGGGTCTCCACGTGGAACGTGCGCTCGATGACCGTGGTCCACTGCAGGCATCGGATGATGAAGGTGTTGGGCCGGGGCCGCTCGGTCTTCATCAGCTGGCATTCTGGGGGGGGAGGGGGACGCAGGTGAGCCCAGACCCCCCCCCCCCCCAGTCCCGGGAAGCTCTATCCATGCCCTCGGGGCGCAGTGTCCCTCCCACTCAGCACGGGGCCCTGACTGGCACAGGGAGAGGGGTCTGGGGTCCCAGGGAGGGGCCGCAGGGTGGGAACTGGTGAGAGCTGCCTGCCCACTGCCGGCCCCATCTCCCCCCTCCCCACAGCCAGCCCCAGGGGGGAGGCTGCCTGTCCTGAGGCGGCTGGGGGACACCACCCCCACCACGATGCCACCCCACGCCCGGGGGCTGGGGGGCAGGACTCACACAGGGGTGCAGACAGGCTGACCGGCCGGGAGCACAGCCACCCGAGCACACGCATGCTGGGCCGCACACGCCAGCACCACACGCACAGCGGGAGAGGCAGGCACCGGGGCCAGGGTCACGCACCCCTGCAGCAGGCTCACCCAGGGTCACGCACCCCTGCAGCAGGCTCACCCAGGGCCACGCACCCCTGCAGCCAGGCTCACCCAGGGTCACGCACCCCTGCAGCCAGGCTCACCCAGGGTCACGCACCCCTGCAGCCAGGCTCACCCAGGGTCACGCACCCCTGCAGCCAGGCTCACCCAGGGTCACGCACCCCTGCAGCAGGCTCACCCAGGGTCACGCACCCCTGCAGCCAGGCTCACCCCAGGGTCACGCACCCCTGCAGCAGGCTCACCCAGGGCCACACACCCCTGCAGCCAGGCTCACCCCAGGGTCACGCACCCCTGCAGCAGGCTCACCCCTGGGCAGTGATGGCAAACCTTTTGAGCTTGGCGTGTCAGCATTTTGAAAAACCCTAACTTCACTCTGGTGCCGTGTCACATATAGAAATTTTTTGATCTTTGCAACCATAGTAAAACAAAGACTTACATTTTTGATATTTATTTTACATATTTAAATGCCATTTAACAAAGAAAAATCAACCAAAAAAATGAGTTCACGTGTCACCTCTGACACGTGTGTCATAGGTTCGCCATCACTGCCCCAGGGTCACGCACCCCTGCAGCCAGGCTCACCCCAGGGTCACGCACCCCTGCGCCAGGCACACCTGCTGTGCAGAGCTGCGGGGATGGTCAGGCTAAGAGGGGCGTGAGTGCATGTGGGGGTCTCTGAGGGCTCCTAGGACAGATCCTGGCCCAGCCTGTGAGGCGGGGGGGGGGGGGGGGGGGCTTTTACCATCCCAGCGCCTGGGCCCTGGCGACAGAGGGCTCAGCCGGGCCCAGATAGGGAGCGGCCTGCCAGGCTGGGGCGAGAGCAGGGCTCTGGGCTGGCCGGTACGGAGGGGCCGCCCTCACCACAGGCCGGGGACAGGCAGGCCTCCTGGGCCTGTGCACACCCCCCTCCCACTCACGTCCCGAGCCCCTGGGCCCAAACCAGGGCCTGGCTTCTCGTCCCCACTGCTGACTCCACCCCCAGAGGCCCGGAGCCCCAGCCCCACCCACTCAGGCAGCCCCCTGGCCAGTGCCCACCTCCATCTGCCTCTGAGGTCACCCCACCCTCGTGCCTCAGCCTGGGGGGCACTCCCGAGGGGTCTCCTCCCCAGCCAGGCCGCCCCCACAGCCATGGGGATGCCAAGGTGGGGATGTCTGCCTCCTGGGTCTCCCCTCACTTGGGCCCCCCCCTCCGCTCCCTGGGGAGACTCACTAGGCGGCAGCTCTGCCACCCCACCCCTGATGCCCTCGGGGGGCAGGGGGCGCTGGCCATGCCCCGGCCCCTGCAGCGGGCACAGGGCAGCGAGGTGGCAGGGCACCCCACCTCCGCACACCTGCAGGCAGGGAGCCCACTGAGCCACATCCCCCCGAGACCCTGGGCCAGAACCTGGGGTTGGGGAGGCTGGTGGCTGGAAGGCAGAGCTGGCCGGAGGGTGGGAGCGTGTATAGAGAAACCTGGGGTGAATCCGGGACACCCACAGTAGGCACTGCACCCCGAATCCCAGTCAGCAGCCCAAGACGGGCTTGGGGCTCAGTTAATGAGCCCATCACGCCCCCACCCACCTGGCTGTTAGGGGCCAGCCTCTGGGCAGAGCACAGGGAAGGGTGGCCGGGCGAGAAGGCCGCCCCCCCCCCCCCCCGGCTCAGCCTCCTCCACCCCCTGCCTCCGCGTCCTCAGCCCCACGGGCAGGGTCAACCTGCCCCCCCCACCGCCCCTCCCGGGTGGAATGACGGAACGAGGCCGGTTTGCCCGGCTTTGCGAGCTCTCCCGGGCCAGCCGTGCCCCCCTCCCCACCAAAGCTGGGGGCAGAGGCACACGCAGCCGGCGGGGGTCCCGGGCCTCTGGCAGCCTTGCAGGGGGGAGGTGCGGGGGGGGCAGCCACAGGCTCTCCCTGGGGGTGACAGAGGCTCCCAGAGCTGGGTGCCCCTCATGCACTCTCGTCCTGCCCCCACACTGTTGGGCTCCCCCTGGCCCCCGCTGGCCGCTCCAAACCAGAATCTGCCCCGACTCAGCCGGCCTTCGCCTGCAGAGCAAGGGTGCCGGGGACAGCTCCGGGGCACGGCCTTGAACTTGGCACAGAGACGCCCACCGGCCAGAGATGGCAGGTCCCGAGGTGACACGGAGCCAGCGCTGCCCAAGCCGGCCCCGGGAGCTGCGGGTCCCAGACACAGGGGCCAGGGGTCCCCGAGGCCCTGCTCGCGGCGTGGGGCTCACTCACGCGCCACGGAGAAGTTGTTGAGGGGCGACTCGCGCTGCTCCACGTCCTGCGGCCGCTCCTTGTAGCCGATGAAGGTGCCGTCGTTTTTGAGCAGGAAGTAGCGGGGCCGCCAGGTCTTGATGTACTCCCCTGGGACACAGAGCTGTGAGGCTGCGCCGGCCGCTCCCCACCCTCGGACCCCAGCCCGCAGCGATCAGGCAACTGCCGGTGCCGGGCCAGAGGCACCCAGGACCCCCAAATGCGTGAGCTCTGACCCCAATTCCCACAGGAGCGGGTGGGAAGGGGCCAGGTGGGCACCTGGACGTGGGGGAAGGCACGGCTGTGGGGAGGCCCAATCTAGAGGGCCTTCCTGGAGGAGGTGGCACCAAGCCAGTGTGACTCTGCAGCAACAGTTGAAGCACTAGCTACAGCCACCTGCTGGGGCCGCAGGGCCAGGAACTCTCCCCCCACTCGGGGCGGCCATTTGTCGGCCGAAAGGGTTACTGCAGTGACGGGGCCAACGGGCAGCTCCCACGGCCGACCCGGGCGGGGGGGTGGGGGGGGGGGGGACGGAGCCTGGCATCCGTGGAGGAGACAGCACACCCTCTGGCCGGGCACCCAGGACAGAGCCCACCGCCCGGGACCGTGCTCATCGGGCCCAGAGGCGGGACCTGCGCCCCCGACCCCACACCCACCGCGGTCACCCGGAGCACGCGGAGGTTCCCCCGATTCGCGACATCAGCCGCACACAGGCCTCTGTGCAGAAGCGAGCAGATGTCCTCCGCGCTGTGCCGGCGACCGTCATTTTTCAAACTGACACCCAGAAAAAACGCCTCATTTCCATTTTGCAGAGCAAGGCGTTTGCGCCGCAGCGAAGGGCTTACTAATTAGGCGGCCACTCCCGCAGAGGAGCCAGCGGGCGGGGGGCCGGTCCCTAAGCTCTGGGCCAGCGGAGCCCAGGACAAGAGCAAAGGCCCGAAACCACCGCCAATGGGTCCGACCCTCCCCGCCCCCACCCGCCCTTCCAATCCCGTGTAGAGGTCCCGGCAGCCGTCACCCGGGCGCCACAGCTGTGGCTTCTGGTGTGGCCTCCAAGGCCCCTCGCCCTCCAGGACCCGGGGCTGCTGGGGGGCTGCTGGGGAGACGGGGCTCCAGCCACCCCAGGGCCTTTCCCAGGGCGCCCGCCTGCAGGCTGTGTCCCTGGCTCCCGTGGGGTCTCCACCAGGCCCCCTGCCCCACCCCACGGCATTTACCGGGTCTCCAGCCAGCTCCCCCTGAGCCCGGGGACAGGCGCTGTGGTCGCCCACGCCCAGGCCCACGCGGTGCGGCCGGCCTCCCAGGTCCTCCCCACGGCGCCACGCGGCCACCCGCTGCCGCTCCCACCCCCTGCGCGCCTGCTGGAGCTGTCGGCCCTGATGGAGGGCCTCGCACCCCGCCAGCTGCCGCTCCCCGGGACGCCAGCTGAGCGGGGAGCGTGATGCGCCCTCGCCGTGCAGCCGAAAATCCATCTTGAGGCACCAACTGTGCCGGCCCCCACCGCGCCCCGCGCCCCGCGCCCCGCGCCGCACACACACGCAGGGGCACGTGTCCCGGGCTCCACAGCCCACACAGCAGCCAGCCTCAGTTTCCCCAGTGGGATTCCCTGGAAGGGCGGGACAGAGTTCCCAGGGCCCACCCCAACCATGTGACCTTGCACCTGCCCTCAAGCCACCCCCAGGGCCGGGAAGGTTCTGGAACCCAGAGCTAGGGGGGACCCATGGGAGCGACACCCTACCTGGCTGAGCCCAAAGCCAGGCAGCAGGCAGTGGGAGCTCCGTGCAGCCCAGACACCCCTCCAGGGGGCGGAACCCGGGGCCTTGGAGGGCGGGCTGAGGCGCCCAGACACACAGAGCCTTTCTCAGTGTCTCAGGTGCCCGCCTAGAGGTCAGGCGGCGGCCACCCAGGGGCTGGGACGGGGCCGAGCCTGAATGAGCTCAGCTCAGACCGGACAGCAGGCCGGCGGCCGCCCGCACAGACGGGTAGAGCGGACACGGAGCGGGCAGTGCGGGAGGCGGCCACTCCACGGCCGCTGCTGTCCTCTCGGCCACTGGATACCTGTGGGCCGGCCTCTGTCCTGAGGCCCGGGGGCAGGGGGGGTGGCGGACACATCGGGGTGCCGGCAACGGGAGGCGCAGAGCCCTCACTTGGGCACAGACACGGGCAGGGAACAGACGGAAAGCTCGAGTCTGCCCTCAGGACGCGGCTCCCTGAGCGGGTCCCCTGCTCCCCCCTCCCCGGGGCCACACGCCCGCCCACCGGCAGGGTGACCTCCGGGCACTCGGGGGGCAGTGGGACCTGGCCCTGCAGCGCCGCCGCTCACACCCAGCAGGCAGCCCGGACACGGGAGGCCCCACTCCCAGCCGTGCAAACACTTGGACGCGCTGCGGCCCACACGGGCCTGGGCACAGCCCTGGGGCCACCACGGGGCCCAGGTCCCCCAGCTCGGCTCCCAGCCAGGAGACCAACGGGAGCCAGGGCTGCCCTGGGACTGAGCTGGGGCAGGGGCTGGGGCTCTGGCGCCCGCTGGTGCCAGGCGAGCAGGATGGGGCGCTGCACGGTCCCCCGGGCTCTCTCGGAAGCCAGCCCTGGGCAGGCAGGAGGGCAGCACGGCTCCTCTGAGACCAGTCCTGCCCAGCCACCAGGGAGGGGACTGTGCCCGACCTTCCCCCACGCGGTCAGCCCACGTCCGGACCAGGGCTGCCCACCTCTTCCTGCCCCAAGGCCCTCAGCTCTCGGGGTCCCCACCAGGGGCCCCTCCCACTCTCTGGGGAGCCTGCAGGGGGGGGCAGGCACCGTGGGCGCCATGGGTGGGGGGCTGCTGCACACGGCGGAGGGCACTGGGCCCGGCCACGCAGCCGCACCCTGAGCCCGAGCCAGTCCCCTGCGAGCCGGAGCCTGGGAGCCGGGTGCACACTCTGCCGCAGTGCTGGTGGCGGCGCGGGCGCGGGCGCTGGCGGGGCGCCAGGCGGGGCCGGGCTGCTTCTCCACAGCCAAGTGCACCCCAGCAGGCCCGGGGAGCGCCGCCAGCTGACAGCGGCGACTGCGCGGTCCCCCGCCGACCACACATCCATCCCCGACAGCTGCCGGGCGCCCATTTACCTTCCCCGGCGCAGCGAGCAAATGGCCTCGCTGACAGCGGCCCATCCATCGCCGCCCGCCACAGGGGTCACCTCGAGGGCCCCCCCTGCCCGGGCCCAGGCGGCTGGACCACGGCCCTGGAGCGGGTGGCGAGGGAGGGCACCCACCCTGTCGGCCGGGTGCTCGCTCAGGACTGAGCTTCCGAGGGCACCGCTCACGGGCCTCGCGGGGCAGGGCACCAACGGCCAGGCGGGCGAGGAGAGGAGAGAGGGCAGGAGCGGCATCTTCTCGGCCAGAGAGGGCAGATGCTCCCCGCACGGCTCAGTCCCGCCAAGGGCACAGGAGGGACCGGGCCTCCTGTGCACCTGCCTCTGGGGAAGGACAGCAGGTGCCCAGCAGCCCCCCCACTCCCCGCCCAGGGCCCTGGCTGTCCTGAGCCCATGGGGGCCGGCCACACCCACACCCTCCCCGAAAACTCTCAGAGGTGGAACCACACCCCTGCCTCTAGTGGGCCCAGCCTGTCTCAGGCGGGAACCTTCATCCCCAACACCCCCAGGAAAAGCCCCCCGCATGGGGGAGTGTGGGGGCCAGGCCAGGGGGGACCCTGTCCTCCAGACAGGCCCCCATCTCGCAGGGCCCGCGTCTTAGTTATTTCTGCTCTAACCCACCCACACCCACGGGGGGACGCCCTCCCCACCACCTTGCCCTCGGGGACATGGTGGCTGGCCGTGCGCCCCCATCCCCGGCAGCATCGCCCCAAGTCCCTGGCCACACCCACCCTTGCCATCCCTCAGGCCCCCAAACCCAGGCCGGCCACATTCCCTCCTCAGCCCCTCCCCAGCTGAGGGCTCCCCATGTGGGGTCTCTGCCCTGGCTCCCACCAAAGGCATCTTCGGTGCCCAGAGCCCCCACCGCTGACGGCGCTACCAGGACCGCACACCGCGCCCACCGCTTCTCAGCCTAGGCCTGTTTCCTGGGCAGGCGGGGCCAGCGGCAGTGGGCTGAGGGGACCACCGGGGCTCCCACCCAAAGCCCCACACCCGCTCCTCGTCCTGAGCTGCAGGCCGGTTATTTCCTGGTCTTGAGGGAGCGCGCATGCCAGCCTGCAGCCCCAGCCCCTCTGCCAGCCTGCCCGGGGCCAGGCCGGGGCTGGGCCCTTCTGGTGGGGCTGCTGAGCAGGGCCCAGGCGGGCAGGGCACGGGCGAGGAGGGGGCAGCGTGTGCCCGCTGTGGGGTGACCCGGGAGTGGGCAGGTCGACAGCAGCGGCTCCGGTTACAGGCAGGCTCCCGGGAGGTGCTGGCCGGCTCCGCTGGGTGTGCCCTGCCCTCGCCTCGCGGCACTTCCAGGAACCAGCCTGATGCAACCCGGGCCCCTGAGCGCTCGCGGCCAGGACCGCACGCCGCGCCCACCCCTTCTCGGCCGAGGCCTCAGTTTCCCGTCTGCACACCATGCGCTCTGCTGCCTGAGGTGGCGGGGTGGTGGCAGAGGCTGTCCGGGGCCTGGGCCCGCCCTCCTGGGCCCCATCGAGTCTGGCCCCGCACAGGGCAGCTGTGCTGACAGCACCCGGCACCCAGGAAGGAGACAGGGCTCAGCCCACAAGGGGCCACCTGGGACCCGGGCAGAGGCAGTGCTCCCCACCCCCGCCCCCCGCGAGGCCCGGGTTTCCTCTTTTTTTATATCTACATGTGCTGCTGCTGCTGTTGTTTTATTTCAGAAAAGGAGAGAGAGAGAGAAACACCAGTGATGAGAGAGAATCATGGACCGGCTGCCTCCCACACGCCCCCCACTGGGGATCAAGCCCGCAACCCAGGCCTGTGCCCTTGACTGGCATCGAACCTGGGACCCTGCAGTCCACAGGCCGACACTCTATCCACTGAGCCACACCGGCCAGAGCCAAGCTTCCTCTTTTGTTGTTTGTTTTGAAGGGAGAACTCAACACACTCACAAAACAGGAAACTCAGCCCCACATAGGCCGGCCCGGCCACGGCCACGGCCACAGCCAGAGCCAGCTGGCCCAGGAGCCGCCGCAGGGACAGGGCCGCCTCCCAGGCCCCGTCCTTAGCACTGAGGCCCGGCCCCTGCTCTACCGCGGGCCTGACCGCCTGCTCGGACCTGCTCCAGGGCCAGTGCCGGACCCTCGGACGTGGGCATTGCACAAGCCGCCCCGTGGACCGCGGGCACTGCGGGGGGCCGGGGGGGTGGGGAGACCCGGACGGGACCTGGGCGCCCGACTCTGCAGCCAGGGCAACAGCAGGCTCCCCGCGGCCCCGCTGAGCCCCAGGCGGCACCGTGGACGCGGCCCCTCGGGGCCTCCACGGCAGCTGGCGCTCAGCGGTGGGTTACAGGCCCCACAGGCCTGTCCCTGCGTGATGGCTGTCCCTCCACAGGGCCGGCTGCACACTCCACCCCTCGCCCCGCAGGGCCCAGGCCCGGGACGGAGCAGGGCTGTGTCAGCAACACAGACGTCTATCTCCCATCTCAGGGCCACGTGCGGGCACAATGATGCCTGCTCCACAGCGAGAGGCGGGCCGGCTGCGCCTGAGGGAGGGAGAGGGAGGGCCCCCGGACGCACTTCCCCGGATGCCGGGACCCCCTGGGCAGGAGGCGAGGGCGCCCTTCTCTGGCCCGGAGCTGGGGAGGGTCAGGCCAGGCCTGAGACCCACCGGGGATTGGGCCCGCGGAGCTCGTGCCCACAGGACCCTCCTGGCGCAGCTCCTGGGGGAAGGTAAACTGAGGCACGGGAACACACGGCCCAGACACCGGGCAGACCACACCGGTGACCACGTCCAGGCAGGGAGCCTCGCGCCCACAGGGGCTCCCCTCGCGCCGCCCCGAACCCCGGCTGGCGGGACCGTGGCCCGGTGATGTCACCCAGGCCCGCCCCTCCTGGCTCACACGGCCAGCTGCCGCCTGCACCGGCCCAGGTGCCCCTCCGTCCCGGCCGCCCCCTCCAGCAGGCCCCTCCCTTCACCCTGGGCCTCCGCTCTCAGGGCCCCTGCCCTTTCCTGGCCCACCTGGTCCGGGCGGCCCACCTGGGTTGGGGACACACCATGGGCTCGGAGGGTGGGACCCGGTGGGCGTCAGGGACAGCGGGCAGGAGGGCAGCCTCAGGGTTTGCCCCAAACCAGCCGCGTGGACCGGCCGCGGCCTTAGCGCAGCCTAGACAAGGCCGAGGCCACCGCCAAGCTCAGCCAGACCCGCTCCGGACACAGAGCTGAGCACCATGGGGGCTCACAGCACAGACCACGGCCTTGAAAACGCAGCTGGGGCCACACCAGCCCACCAGCCCCACACGGCCGGCCGGCGTGTCTCCCCCACGCGGGGGTCGCGGTCACCCAGGATGTCCAGCTCATGCTCCGAAGCCGGCCCATCGCTGGGGACACCCGCTCGGGGCTCAGGAGGTGCCCCCCCCCCCCAGAGACACCTGCCCCGCTGCCCCCCAGCACCCGAGCCTCCAGCAGCTGGAGCACTTTTCGGGGACCAGCCCCCCACGGGGCACACGGACATGAGGCCCGAGGGTGCGCTTGGACCCCATGGTCAGTGCAGGCCCAGAACGGGGACTCTGCCCCCGGCTGCTCTGGCTAAAGCAGCGTCAGGACCCCCAGAACTCAGCCCGGGGTCCCTCCCCACAGATGGGTGCCCACCGCCCACCTGCCCACGGAGTGGAGGAGCCTGGGCCCAGGGTCTGCCCCGCACAGCCAGCCACCTGCCCCTGCGATGCCCACACAACCCCTGGGCCTGGGGGTGGCCGTCTGCCCTGTGCCCAGCCCTGGCGGGATGCAGGACAGCCGCTTCCTAACCTACCGGCCAGGGAGGGGGCGGGGCCGGGACGGGCCTCAGGGGGCAGGCCCTGGAGGAGGACAGCTCCCACCCCCTCCCATGCTCTGAATGCCACCCCGGGCCAGGCCTGAAGGTGGGGCCCTCTGCTTACCCTGGGGCAGATCTGGGACCCCTCCCAGCCCAGAGCTCCCCCCTCCTCGCTGAGAGGCAGCAGGCAGCCCAGAGGGTCAGCCAGGAGCGGGAGGAGGAAGCCTGGGAGGCTTCTCGCAGGGGGTGGCAGGGCAGCGGCCCTTCGGGAACGGCCGGGTGAGACGAGGAAACGAGGCCGGTGCCCCGCTCAGCAGGCCCGCGCCCCTCCCCGCGCCCCGTCCCGCCATCAGATCTGCACAGGCCGGCCTCCTGCCTCCGTCCACGGCCAGGACGCGATCCTGACCCTCCCCGACCCCAGAGAGAGTGGTGCTTCCCGTCCACTGGCTCCACGGACCTCAGCCCCACACTGGGGGTCCCGAGTCCCCCAACAACCCACCGAAAGCCACCCCTTTCCCAGCATCCGCCCCAGGACTCCACCCTCTCACCGGGTTGCCCCAAAGCCCAGCACCAAGGAAGCGCCCAAACATTTGTGGGGAGCCAGAGAACATCAGAGGTCCTGGGGTCCCCAGGAACAGGGAGCAGGGGGCATGAGGGCACCCATGTTACAGACCTTCCTCCGTGAGCAGGGCAGGTGGGACCGGGGCCTGGGAGGAGCAGACCCACTGCCCAGAGCAGGGCCCTCCCACTCCCACTGCCCGTCCGCCCCCACCGCCCCCACCCGGAAGAGGAAGAGCATGTGTGGGGGACACAGCCCCTCTCCTGCCCCGGAGGCCGAGGGCCTCACTGCACCCGGGTCAGGCCCCACAGCCACATGCCCTACTCCAGGCCTCCCCGACCACCCCTCCCATTACACAGATGGGAAAACCAAGGCCCGGGGAGCCCAATGGACCGGCCCTTGGAGAGGGACACAGGACGGCACTGGGCTCAGACGCCCCTCTGGGCTGACTCAGGCCCCCGGCCTTCAGAAGGCCCCACCCTGGCTGGCCCACCTTGTGGGCCAGCTCCTGATCTAACATTCAGTCAACAAACGTTTGCCGAGGTCAAGAGGCACTGGTCCCAGGTGGCAGTTTCTGTGCTGCTGCCGGGCACCGAGGGGAGGGGAGGGGGGGGTGTGGGGGTCCCCGATTCCGGCCCGAGAGGGCTGAGGGGAGGCCGACAGCAGGGCCGGATGGGGGCTCCGCACAGGGAGCAGGACTCCGGGAACCAGGAGTGGTGAGCCTTGGGGAGGGGACCAAGGAGGCAGGCGGGTGCCGGGGCCTCGCGGGGACCAGGCAGAGGTCTCCCTACGGACCACAGGCCCCTCCGCCTCCTCGTCTCCTTCTCAAGGCCCAGCGAGGACTACCCCCCCCCCCGCAGCTGCCCCACGGAGCGCTAAGGCTGACCACATCCTCCACCCCCCACGCCAAGCTCTGTAGCCCCAAGTCGCTGCCATCCCTCTGTGCCTGCACCCTGCTGCTGCAGCCTCCCTGCATAGTGGGGAGCTCCTATGCATCCCACAAAACCCCTCCCACAACACACGCTCTTGCCCCCGCCCTGGCCCTGAGCGTGTGAGTTCTCCCTGTCTGCCCATCAGAGTCTGAGGTTCCCCCCACAACAGCCGGTGGGACCCTGGGGTGGGGAGAGGGACCCCTCGCCCCAACTGTGAGAGAGCTAGCGAGAGGTGGCTGGGGGCTGGGGGCTGGGGGCGTGGGGCCACCAGGACTTCCGGAGGAAGGAGGAGGGAGTGGCTGCACAGGGCACCAGGGTGGAAGGCCTGTCACCCCCCTGCCTGGCCCTGAGCAGCGGGGGCGGCGGGGCTGGAAGGTGAGGGGCTAAGGCCTCAGCTCCCATCTCAGCAGCTCCTGTCCGAGCACCGCCCGGGGCACAGGGCCAAGGGAGTGAGGAAGGGAGGCTGGGCGGGCACCGGGCTGCAGCCCAAACATGCCCGCGCCCGGGGCCCAGTGTGCAGAGAGCTCTCCCATAGCCCAGGCCCAGCCCAGGCCTGAGGTAGGCACCAGGCCAGGCCCAGCCGCCCCGCCCTGCCCTCAGGAGCCCTTGGGCAGTGCCCCGGGCCACTGTGAGCCAGGCCCTGGACCGGCCCCAAGCCCTCACCGCCTTCCAGGAAAGCGGGCGGGAGGTGGCGTGGCTGTCCCGCCAGCAGGGCCCCACCGGGCGGCCATTCATCGCCAGCTGCCCTCCAGCCCCGTCTTACCTCCCCCGACCCAGGGGTCCGCCAGGCCGGGCCCTGAACACCATAGAGACGCTGTGCCTGGGATGCTCACCTGGGCCGCCCAGCAGCCTCGGGCTCCCAGCCACCCAGCTGCCAGGCCCCTGCCCCCAAGGGAAGCCCCCAGGCCCCGCCCCGGGCGCTCACCTCGTTTGTGCAACCAGCCCTCCTTCACGATGGCCACGTCGGTCATGGTGCCGGGGGTCGCTCACGCTCCGCTCTCCGCGGGTCTCCCCGAGCCCAGCGGTGCCCACGGCCTCTGGGGGAAGCGAAGGGCAGTGTGAGGCCGTGTCCAGCTGGGGCCACTCGCTGACCCAGCGGCGAGCGCAGGAGGCCCGTCCCACCCGGGGCCGAAGCCCGGGCCCACCTTCCTGTGCAGCCGCCCGCAATCTCTGCCCCTCACCCTCGTCCCCGCCACCTGCTCCCTGGGCCTAGGTCCCCCCACCCTCCCGGACCCCAGGCCCTCGAAGCTTCCGGGGCACCTCCGTGCCCATACCCACTCCCCTGGCCTTTGTACTAACCACTCACATTCCCCAAGGCCCTCCCTAACCTGCCAACCCAGCGAACACCACCTCCTCCAGGCAGCCCGCGGCTGCGTCAGCCCCAGGCACTTGACCTCCGACCCCCTGCTGAGGATGCCTGCTGCCCCTCTCCGTGGTGTTCGGGTCCCCCGGGGCCGGGCACAGAGCCCCTCCCTGTGCCAGGCTGGGAATGGAAGCCAAGCCGCTCAAACAGCCACGGCAGGGCCAGCGTGTGGGTGGCTGGCGCGGGCACCGGGCGCCCTCTAGGGTGGTGTGAACCCTCCCCAAACCCCAGGCCCCTCCTAAACCACAGGCCCCACCAGCCTGAATCTCCATCATTCATCCGGCCCCTGTGGGCCAGCCCCTCTGGTTTAGCCGGGTCGGCCTGGGCACTGGCGACAAAGAAGCTCAGACAGGTCCCGTCTGTAGGGAACCCCCGTCCAGGGTGGTTGCAGACCCCTAATTACAGGGTCCGGGCGGCGACAAAGGGGGGCTGTACGCACGCAGGCCGGATGCCCGCCCCGCAGGGCCCACCAGCAGCCCTCTCTTGAGCAGACACGCTGGCCATTCATCTGGCATGGCCCTCCCCACTGCCCCCTGCTGGGTAAACTCCTAGGCATCCCTCAAAACCCAGTGCCCACATCACCCATTCCGGGCATCCCAGGCCTCTGCAACCCCCCAGACAGGGACTCCAGTCGGTAGGCCCTGCACAGACTCCTCTCCAGGACCCCACCCCCCCAAGCCGGGCAGCCCCCCAGGACCCCTGGAATGGATCCCAATGTGGGTCTTTCTCTAGCCGCCCGGCTTCCCTGGCCCGAGGCGGGGGCTGGGCACCCAGAGGAGGTGGCTTTGCACTGACCGAGGCTGAATTTTGATGGGCAGTTAGACCCGCCTGACGCCACGACAGGGAAGACACCCTTTGCCGGAGGAAGTGCCCACGTGCTCAGCCGGGCCCTGGGCACCGTGCTCTGAGCCCAGGCGAGTTGGGCTCGGGGCTCTGGTGACACTTGGGTGGGCGTGGCCTGGAGGCAGAGGGCTGGCCTCCGGTTGTCCCCCTACCCCCACCAGGGCCCGCGCTGACAGAGCCGGACAGCTGTCCGGAGCCCATGTGTAAAAATATATCTGTGCGCACACGGGGCGTGCGTCCGCAGACACGCACGCCGCGCCCGCGCCCGCGCCCACCTGCCCCGCGCCCGGTGCCTTGGCCCTCGCCGCACACGCCTGTGATTATTATAAAATCACAACTTTCACAGCAGCCTGTCTCTGAGGGCCCTTCCTCTGCCCCAAACACTGGGCTGCGGGCGTACCCTCCGCCGGTGGGCAGGGAACCCAGATGCTGGGACCAGCTGGGGGCTGAGGGGGGCCTGGAGCCGCGGGCCCGGGGGGAGGAAGAGGCCCTCTGGCCGCAGGGCACAGGCCATGCCCCCGTCTACCCACCCTCCCCCACCTCGGACCGAGACCCAGCGTCCTCCAGGCCCAGCCTGGGGGGGGCGGGGGGCCCACACCAGGAAGCAGAGTCGAGCCAGTGGGGGAGCCGTCCTTTGTGGGCGCCTCGGACCACTCTGTCTGCGGGAGGACGAGGTCTCCTTCCCGGCCCCCCTCCAACTTGAACCGTGGCCGGGCCGGCCTCTCCCTAAGGCCCCTGCGTCTCCGGGACACCGGGCGGCACTGGCCCGGCGCCCGCAGCGCGTCTGGGGAGCCCGGCCTCGGGGCGCCCCCAGCCCCGGCCGCGCCCCTGCGCCCCAGCCCGGGCCTCGCGGGCCGGCGGCCGCCTCCCAAGGTCAAGAGGGAGCCGGGCCGGCCCGCACCCCCGGTCGCCGGCCCGCGCCTCCCCGCCCAGGCGGCCGCGGCCACTTCCTGCTCCCGCGCCTCCATTCCGGCTGCGCGGCCCGGCGGCCGGGAACAAAGCGGCGGCGCGGGGAGGAAATCCGGGCCCCGGCGGGCGGCGGGCGGGACTCACCGGGCGCTGCGTCCGGGCGAGCGCGGGCCTAGCCGGGCCGCGGCCTCCGGCGCCCGCCGCTCCGCATCCCCGCGGGCCGGGCCGGGCGGGCGCTGTCGGGCGGGCCTCGCGCCGGGCCGGGGATCGTGCGCGGCCGCGGCTCGCGTCCCCGGTGCCTGCTGCGCGCGCGCTGGGCCGGCCGCCGCCGCTCCGTCCCGCCGCCGGCCCGCCCCGTCCCCGCCCCGCGCACCCCGCCCGGCCGCCCGCCCACATCCGCCTCCGCCGCCTGCGCCCCCACCCGGGCCGGGAGGGAGGGCGGGGGCCGGGCCGGGGCCGGGGTGGGCCCACGACCCAGCGCGCGCCGCCGGCCAGCCCCGGCCACGCCCTCCGGCCTCAGTTTCCCCGGTTTGTTCCGTGAGCGGCCGCAGCCGGGACGCATCCAGCTGCTGCCTCCCGGGGGTGGGGGTGGGGTGCGGGTCAGTGTGACACCAGAACGCGCCCCTCCTGGGCCGCCCCCCGCGGGGGTAAGGGGGGCGCCGCTGCGATGGCCCGGGAGGACCAGCCGGGACCCTGCCCGGCGCCGAGGCGGGGCGGACGGCGGGGGCCGGAGGCCGGGGGCGGGGAGGCTGCCGCACTGCGGACCTGGAGCGACCGTCCGTGGGTGCAGCCCGGCTGCGGGGCGGCCCGCCCCGGGGGGCTTCCAGGAACTCCCCGCCCCCAGGAAGACGCGGACACGTGGCGGCTCCGACAGGGAGGAGAGGGCGCGGGGCTGCGCCAGGGCACGCACTCGGCCCGGTGCCCCCGGGGTCGGGCTGTGACCGCGGAGGCCGCCAGGACGCTCCCCGCGGTGCCCACGGTCCCCGGGCCCCCACAGTCCGCTGGGGGCAGCCGAGGGCCGGAGGCAGAGGGGCCCTAACCCCGCAGACACGCCCTCTGACCCCCCGCGGGGCGGGGCTGATGGCCACCCCCGCGAAGAAGGAAGACCAGTTCTCCCCGGAGGGGGTCCATGGCGGGGAAGGGGGCACTTTTGTTCTTCACGGGTCAGAGTTCAGCGGGCGGTATAGACAGCCATCAGGGGCAGGGGCAGCCCCCACCGCCTCCCACAGGGGAAACTGAGGCTCAGTCCCAGCCTCTGGGCGGACAGGACAGCGGGTCGCTCCCCAGGGAGGACTGCCTCCCGCTGGGGGACACGCACTCCTGGGCAAGGGGGCTCCCAGGTCCCTCGCGGCCTCTCCCCGCGGACCCTCTGGCCGCACCCCCCCACACACACACACCCAGTGCGGTGTCCCAGCGTGGCCGGGCACCCCCAGGCAGCGCCCTGCCCCCAGGGCCCAGCGAGAGGCCTGGCAGACGCCTGACCTGAGGGTCACCCCACAACAGTCCGACTCTGTCCATCACTCACCCCACAGACCTTCCCGGGGACCCTCCGCGACTGTCCCACCCACCGCTCTCCCTGGAGGGGTTTCATCCCGCTCCCCATCCTGGACCCCAGACGCTGTGGGGAGGGGAGGGGGAGGCAGAGGGCGAGAGATGGTTGGGGTGGCAGCCCGGGCCGCAGGGGCCCGGAGGGCGCCCTCTCGTGGAAGACGGGGGGACTCTGTGGGCTGCTCGTGGGCCTGCGGCCCATTTGAGGAACAGCAGCATCTCGGAGGCTGCACCGAGGCGGCCCAGGCCCCCTGGCTCACTCACCGGAACTCACTGTGAGCCCACACCCGACTCGGGGCCGCGCCCAGTCCTGTCTGCGCCCCTGTGAGCCGGCCCTGTGACGGGCACCCTGCGGACAGGGCCAGCCCCGCCCCAAGGACCCCCTTCCGCCCCCAGACAGAATGGTGGGGGACGGCCCAGCCTGTCGCCGCCGGTCACTGCTGCAGCCGCTTTGGGGTCCCTTGGCCAGATGTTTCCAACAAAAAGTGCTGCCTGCTCGCTCGGGGAGCGCGGGCGACGCCAGCCCTGTCACCCCGCAGCTGCCGCCGTCGCCATCGGCGGGGCTCCTCGCCGGGCACCCGGCCGCCTGGTCTCTGCAGCAGCTGCGGGGCGGGGCCCCAGGGCCGCTCCTGGCCAGATGGCCGCCTGGCCCGCGGCACCGGGGAGGCACTGCCCACACCACTGTGATGCCTCCTGTCATCCCAGTGCCCGAGACCTTGCTGGGCAGGCAGGGCACCGAGGGCTGTGGGACTGGCAGTCGGGGTGCCGCCTGGGACAGCGCCTCCTGGAGACCAGAGGGCTTCGCTCAGACCTGGTGACTGCAGGGCCCCAGGCCCCTCTCAGGGCCGGCCCTCCCCTAGCCCATGCCCCCTGGGCTGGCCTCCAGCCCCACCCCACCCCCACCCTCCCACCCCGCTGCTCTTGCTGGCAGTGTCCTGGCCTGCATGCCCCTCCGCACCCACGGCCTCTGTCGGGTGCCCCAGGAGCTCTCTGTCCCACCAGCCAGGCAAGGCACTCTGCCCGCCCTGGGCCTCGCCCCACCCAGTGCCCCGAGGGGCTGGCCTCCCCTCCCTGCCTCCAGGGGCTCAGGCCCAAGCCAGGGGAGGCCGGGTGGGCAGGCGGGCAGCGCAGAGCATGGGAGATAAGGATGGGGCGCCAGTGTGCACTCATTCTCGAGGCGTTACTGCGGCCCCACTTGGTGCCAGGAGCCCTGTCCCCGCATGGCCACCCCGCACGCTGGCTCTGGAGGGCGGGAACCTGGGCGTGGGCAGGCGCTGAGCTCGGTGCCCACTGCTACAGGCAGGATTGGGGGCGCCAGGGGAGGGCTGTGGGGAGGAGCCCGCGGGGCCAGGGAGAGGCCCGGGGTCCTGCAGCTTGGCGGGGTGGGGGTGGGGGGGACATCAGGGTTCAGGGAGATTAAAGGCCACGGGCGGCTGGGAGGCCAGACCCTGGGGCGGCCCACCTGGGTCACTCGGACCAGACGTGAATCCCGCTGCCCAGCCGGGCGCTGGGGCCAGGGTGGCAGCGGGGTTGGCCCTCCTCGGGGAGGGCCCCCCCCCCACCGTGGATGGGGCCACAGGAGCCACGAAGTCTCCGAGGCCGAGCCGTAGTGGCTGGGTTTAGGGAAGGAGAATGAAGGATGGCCAGGCAAGTGAATTTCAGACAAACAAGGGCTCCTGTTTTTAGTGTAAGAAGTGCTTTTCCTCCCCACAGGCCGTGATCCTATGCGGTGGCCCCAGGCCTCTGACTGGGGCTCCCCGACCCCTGCCCCGCCTCGAGCGGGCTCTCCCTGCTCCCACACCGGCTGCGGAGGCTGCAGGGCTCCCACTGCTCGGCCCAGGACACCTGGGCGAGGGCCCCATGCTTTGTACCAGTGCCTCCCCCAGCACCACCCCACCCTAGTCAAGGCCCCTTTCCTACCAGACTCCTCCCCGAGGCTCCACGCCCCCCCCCCCTATCTGGGAGGTGCCGGTGGGGGTCCAAATCGCAGCCCTTAGGTCAGCCCTGGGAAACCCTCCACAGCAGGTTGAGGCACCCCCACACCATGTCTGTTTCTCTGGGGGGGCAGGGGGGTTCCTTTTGGCAGCAGGACTAGGTGTCCCCTCACACCTTCAGCTCTGGCACCTGAAACACGAGCTCCTCAGGACCCCAGCCAGGCGCCTCCGTGCCTCTCCCTCCCTGAACACTCCCCACCTGCGCTGGCTCCACGGCCACCCACCCCCACCCTCACCACCACGTCTGCTGGGCCGTGCCCTTTCCCCCGGCCTCAGACACACAGCTCCCCCGGCCAGCGTTGAGCTGGGTCCCTGAGAGAGAGGGAGGCCCCCGCTCTGGACTCCAAGGTCCAATCCCATTGGGTTTTGCAAGAGGGTCCCAGCTACATGAATTCAAACAGCGGCTTCCAACGACAGGGGTGTCATCTTTTCCAAATGTCCGACCCCCTCCGCGCCCCGTCCTCCATCGCACAGCAGGAGGCCAGGGGCCCACTGCGCCCTCGCCCTCGGGCACCTGCCCCAGCGGGGACCAGGAGCGGCGCTGATCCTCCGGAGGGGTCTCTTAGCAGACGGGCGCAGTGGGGACCCCATCGGGCGGGAGGGGGGGACACCGAGAGGGAGCCGGCAAGTATCGCGAGAGACCCCCTCCCCCGCCGCACCCCGCATCGCCTCCCACCCAGCGCCCCAGCTGGCGGCACGCGGGGCCCAGTCGGGTGGGGCGGACAGGGAAGGGGCGGCGAGGGTGACCTCAGCGGTTCCGCGCTCCGGGAAGTCGCCGGGCCCGCCCCCTCCAGCCCCCGCCCGAGTTTCGCTCTCTCCGGGGCGGGGCGAGCGGCAGGCGGTGCCGGGCCGGCCAAGTTGGAGGGCGCCCCGCCCGCCGCCCGGCGCCCTCCCCGCCGGGGCGCGCTGCCCCAGCTCCGCGCTCCGGGCCACACCGGGGAGGGCGCGCGGCGCGGCGCGGCGAAGCCGGAGGGGAGCTCCGGACCGTGAGGTGAGCGCGGGGGGCGGGGGGCGGGCGCCGGCTCTGCCCGCCCCGCCCGCCGGCCCGCTCCCCCGGCCGCGCTGCCATAAATGGGGCCCGCGGCGGCGGCGGCGGCGGCGGCATCTGGCGGCAGCTGGAGGCGCGGACCGGGGCGGCGACGGTGAGCAGACTCGGCGTCGGGGGAGCGGCGGGCGGCCGCCCCGGAGTGAAGTTCAGGGGCGCCCCGGGCGGGGACGCGTGCGGTCCGCGCGGCTGTGCCCCCTCCGCCCGCGCCCGGACCCGCCCCCGCCGCGGAGCGGCTTCTGTTGACTTTCGGTCGAGTTTTTCCTGCCGGGCGCGGGGCAGGTGCCAGGCGGCTGCGGAGGGCGGGTGCGCGCCCCTCTGCCCGCGGCCGCCCGGGGAGGGAGGGAGGGCGCGTCGGGGCCGGGGCGGCGGCCCGGCGCGCTCACGGCGTCCGTTTGTCCAGGTGATGCGGGCGGCGGCATGGAGTTCCCGGGCCACGGCGGGCGGCTGCTGGGCCGCCTGAGGCAGCAGCGCGAGCTCGGCTTCCTGTGCGACTGCACCGTCCTGGTGGGCGCCGCGCGCTTCCCCGCGCACCGCGCCGTGCTGGCCGCGTGCAGCGTCTACTTCCATCTCTTCTACCGGGAGCGGCCGGCGGGCGGGCGCCACACGGTGCGGCTCAGCGGCGGCGTGGTCACGGCGCCCGCCTTCGCCCGGCTGCTGGACTTCATGTACGAGGGCCGCCTGGACCTGCGCGGCCTCCCCGTCGAGGACGTGCTGGCCGCCGCCAGCTACCTGCACATGGACGACGTCGTCAGCGTCTGCAAGGGCCGCCTCCGGGCGCAGGGCCGTGCGCCGCCCGTGACCCCGGCCCCCGGCGCAGAGCCCGCGCGCCCGCCGCCACGCCCCCTGCCCGCCGGGTCCCCCGAGCTCCGCGCAGCGGCCCAGAAGACCAGGCTGCCCGGGACCGGGCTCAAGGCCACCATCCTTCCAGGGGCGCGGGGGCCCCCTCCCTGGCAGGCCCCGGTGGAGTCGGACCGGGCCCTGGACCTGTCGCTGAAGCCCGGCCGGAGGCGGGAGCCAGGCCGCCCGTCCGCTGTCCTCCAGACCCCGCCCTGCGGTCAGCGGCCGCGAGGGGCCGGGCCACCGGTGAGGGACCAGCAGGACTCGCCGTCGGGGCCGGACCGCGTGGGCCCCCTGAGCTCCCCCGGCCCCCTGCAGCCTCCCCGCGCTCCTGCCGCCCGGCGCCTGGTGGGAGGCTTGGAGCTGCTGCCCGGGGGGCTGGGCGGCCAGGAGCTGGAGCTGGATGCCGAGCGGGAGGCCGCGGAGGAGGACCCGCTGGCGCCCGGCGGCCGCTTCTGCACGTGTCCGCTGTGCGGCCAGCCTTTCCCCAGCGCCCACGCGCTGCAGCGGCACCTCAGCGCCCACTTCCGCGAGCGCGACGGTGCCCGCGCCCGGCTCTCGCCCGACGGCGCCGTGCCCACCTGCCCGCTGTGCGGGAAGACCTTCTCCTGCGCCTACACGCTCAAGCGCCACGAGCGCACCCACTCGGGCGAGAAGCCCTACGCGTGCGGGCAGTGCGGCAAGAGCTTCCAGTACTCGCACAACCTGAGCCGCCACGCCGTGGTGCACACGCGCGAGAAGCCCCACGCCTGCCGCTGGTGCGCGCGCCGCTTCACGCAGTCCGGGGACCTCTACCGCCACGTCCGCAAGTTCCACTGCGGCCTGGTGTGACCCTCCGCCGCCGGGGAGGCTGGGGCGGCGCTGGGTGCTGTGCGAGGGGCCCGGAGCTGGTCAGTGGAAGCCCCGGGGCTGCCCGCTGCTCCCACCTTGTGCCCTGTCTGTGACACCGTCTTCCTCTCCTCCCAGTTCTGGGGGTGTCGCAAGGGCCCCTGAACTTAGCCCAGGCACCTCGCCTGGGGCACCCCGCGTCCTGCCTTGGGGACTCCCCTGGCCCCCTTAGGGGACCCTTGTGCATCTGGGCCCACTTGGCGAAGGCTGCACATCACAGAAGTTGTCAGTGAGGCCCCTGCGGGGGAGGCCCACGCACTGGGAGGCCATGAAGCCTGGGGAAGCTGAGCGGCTGGGGGGTGCCAGGCTGCGGGGGGGGGGGGGGGGCGGCCAGTGCATGTGCTGGCTCAGGGCAGGGCCCCAGCCCCCAACGCATGCACAGCCCCCGCCTGTGGACGTTGCTGTGTCCGCGGCGGCTGAGGCCACCCTCCCTGCCCGCCTGCGCGCTGAGCAAATCCCGCTGCTGGAACCCCTGGCTGTGGCCCGCGGCAGCCCCGGGCTGGGGGTTCTGCAGGCAGTGACTGGACACGGCGCAGCGTCCAGCAGCTTTAAGTTATTTGCCCTCCTCCTGGCAACACTTGTCCTATTTATTCGTCTTCTGGTCTCGAGTGGAAGGCCCTTCCCAGCAGGTGGACAGAGCCCGGCCCCCTGCCGGCCCTCAGCTCCCCGTGAGGCTCCCCCTGTGGCTGCCTCTGCTGAGCCTAGCGCTGCAGACCCTGGACCCCATGGGGACCAGGGAGCTGGGTGAAGGGGATCCCTGCTTCTGACTGCCCTACCCCCGGCCCCTCACCTGCGGAAACGCCAGTGTGACTGCCCACTGGGCATGAAGCGCTCCCTGACCCGGTTCCCCTGTGTGTGTGGGGAGGTGCGCACATGGGGGGGTGTACATGTGTGTGTACGTGTGTGTGGTCATGCGAACCCTGCCAGCAGCGGGGAGCCCCGGGGAGGGGCAGGGTCTGGTTCCCCCGGGTTTCTGGGGGAGATGTGTACTCTCTGGGCGGGAAGTGGCCCGAGCGCTCAGCACTGGATCCCGGGTCCTCTGCAGCCGTCACTGTGAAGTCACTGCGGAGAGGAGTGGCCGGTCGAACGCGATGGCCGACAGTTCAGATGGAACGTATTTATATTTCTATTTAAGATGCTGCCGTGTGGGGGCGTGCGGCAGAGGCGTGTGCACGTGCTGTGGGGTCACCCCCGGCCGGCCTCCTGCCTCGCTGCTGTGCTGCCCCTGGAGGGGCCGGGCGCCCGCTGGCGGGAGGTTTGTTGGCTGCACACGCCTGTCTCCGTGCCCGTCCTCGTCTGTGTGGTGACCGTGTTAATAAAGCCGCCCCGTGGAGACCTTCCATGACCCCTGGGAAGGGGGTGTGTGCGTCTCCAAGTGTGTGGGGAGTGTGGGCACGCGGGGCTGGGCTGGGGGGCAGGGGGGTGTACCCCGTGGGGGCATGGGCTCAGGCAGGGCTGCAGACTGCTGGCCCCTCACCCAGGCTGCCCCACCCGCCCTGAGCTTGGAGGAGGGATGCCCAGGGAGGCAGGCTGTGTTGGGGGCAGGAGGCCGCTGGGGCCCGCCTGGAGGCCTGGCGGCTTCTCGCCCTGGCGGGGGAGGGGGCCTTGCTGAGGGGCCACAGGCCCTGGGACCTGGGCCTGAGCTGGGGTCCTGGGTCCTGTGCTTCCCTTCCAGAAGCACCGCACTCCTGCCCTCTGCCCGCCTCCGCCTCTGCCTCCCTCCCCCGCTCCACTCCTCATTTGTCCCCTGGCTCCCTCGGTGGAATGGGCCCTCAGAGGCCTGGGTTTGGGCCAGGGGTGGCCAAGGATGGGAAGGGGGTGCCTCCTGCCCCTACCCTCGTCCCGTGGGCCGGACGGACCTGCCGGGACCCCTAGAGGGGCAGGGGGGCAGACCCCCTCATGTATGTCCCGAGCCCAGGCCTGGACCCAAGGGCAGGGGTCCTCAGAGTTTGCTAGGCTGGGCTGCGTGGGCGCTGGAGGGGCCCCTGATTCTTGGACCAGCCTTCACGGCCTCTCCCTGTCCTGACCCCAAAGGGGTCCTTCCTCTGGGGGTGGTGCCGGCCCCTCCTCCCCTCCCTCCCTCGCCTGCCTCCCTCGGAGCCCCTGTCCCACAGGAAGGCCCAGCAAGTTCCCAGTTGGTCTCATGGCTCTGCCCGGCCTTCTCCCAACTTGGCAGGGAGGAGGCTGTCGTCATGCCAACCCAGCAGGGGAGGAGGGCTGGGAAGAGGCCCCTTGAGGGGAGGGCTGGCCCGGAGAGGGGCTTCCGGGGCCCCATCCCACCTGCCCGGCTCTGCCAAGCTGCTCGCTCAGCTCAGGGCTGGAGCCCCGCTCCCGGGCAGGTGACCCTCTGAGTGCCCTCCCTGGACGACCCCTTGGTTGCCCGGTAACTGAGGCGGGAAGGGGCTGCCTGGCTGAGCGGCACGGGCGCTGGCCCTCACACCTGCCCTCCCGGGGCCGGGCCCTGCAGGGCAGCCAGAAAGAGCCCACAGGAGTGCAGGGTCAGGCAGGAGGGTCCTGAGCCGCCCACCCAGCGTGGGCTGGGAGCATCCAGGTGGCACAGAGGTGGCAGCCACTGCAGAGGGGCCAGGCCGGCAGAGTGAGCCGTGGCTGCAGGAGCCGGGCGGCTGGCTGGAGGGCAGGGCAGCTGGCGGGGGAGAGGGGGTGCAGAGAGGCAGACACGCTGCCCCCAGGCGCCGGGCTGGGCGGGCTGGCTGCGGACAGAAGGCAGCGCAGAGGCCAGTTGGGCTGAGCGTGGGAACCGCCCCCCCACACACTGTGGTCCCGCAGAGGGGGCGGGGGGCGGGGCGCGGACAGGGCTGGGAGGGAGCCGAGTCACCTTTTCTTTTCTCCAACGTGGACAGAAGTTGGGTGAGGAGAACCCGCTCCCAGGCCTCCGGCAGGCACCCCGGCTTGTGATCAGGCTCTGGGCCCAGCTCCACTGCGCGCGTGTGCACGTGTGTGTGTGTGTGTGTGTCTGCATGTGTGTGTGTGCACCCGTGTGCGTGCATGTGTGCGCACTCGTGTGTGTGCACCCGTGTGCGTGTGTGCATGTGTGTGCACCCGCGTGTGTGTGTGTGCACCCGTGTGTGGAGGGGGCGTCCACACACCCAACAAGCAATTCTGCACCGGCCCGGTGGCCTCCAGCTCAGCTCCACTCTGACACTCGCCCAGGACGGCGCCCCCTCCCACAGGCCAGGGCTCCGCCCGCCGGGACTGCCCACCCCTGACCCCAGGCCACCCACACAGCCAGGCTGTCACCCGGCCTCTGACCTCTGACCTCTGACCAGGTGCCCGGCCGCAGGTGGAGGTTCTGTGACGCCTCCTTGGTTGACGGATTTCCCGGAACAGCTCACAGGACGCGGGAAGCGTTACCTGCCAGACCACAGGTTCGGTGTGGAAGGAGGTGGCCTCGCCGGCTTGCTCAGTGGATAGCCCGTCGGCCTGCGGACCGAAGGGGCCCGGCCCTGGTCGGGGTGCGTGCAGGAGGCAGCCAGTCGATGTGTTCCTCGCACATCGATGTCTCCCCCTGTCTTCCCCTCTCTCCCACTCTCTCTAAAATCAAGGGGAAAACATCCTCAGGTGAGGCTTAACAGTAAGAAATAATAGAGGGCTGGGAAACGGTGCCTGCAGGGCGGGGAGACCTGTTTCGTTCGGGTCCCGTCACCAGTGGGGGACCATCCGAACGAGTCAGAGTAAGTGGGACCCTCCCTTTGCCTCCGTCGTGCCCCCCCCCCCCCCCGCCCTCCTGGCACTGCCGCTCGGGCCGGCTGATCGTGCGCCGCCCTGCCCTGCCCTGAGCACTGCTTTCCTCCTCATCCTTTGCCGGGAAAAGATGCACGTTGACCACTGCCTGCCTTCGGGCCACCGCGCTGTTCCTTGCGTGGGCATTTCCCCATGTTTCCTGCTGTAAATGCAAGCAAATGCCCCCACCCCCCGTCACCGCCCTGAAAGGCGGCAGACCACCCTGGCCGGTTTGGCTCAGTGGATGGCGCGTCGCCTGTGGACCGAAGGGTCCCGGGTTGATTCCGGTCAAGGGCATGTACCTTGGCTGTAGGCTGGACCCCCTGCCCTGGTCGGGGGGGGGGGGAGGGGGGCACATTCAGGAAGCAACTAATCAGTGTGTCTCTCTCACATTGATGTTTCTCTCTCTCTCACTCTACCCCTCCCTTCTATTCTCTCTAAAAAAATAAAAAATCACTGGACAAGGATCCTCGGGCGGATTAACAACAAGAAGGTGGCGTCCACGTCGCTGTCCTGCTCGCTGCTTTCTTTCACGTGAAAGGAGGTTACCGGGACCGTCCCACAGCCCACAAGCACGCCTTCCCCGGCCGAGCGTCGCCTGTCTCCGCGGGATGGACGCTGCGCGGTTTGCAGCTTCTGCTGCTGTAAGCAACTCGGCAGCAAATGACCTTGATCCTGCGCCCTTTGGCACAGGGAGGGACGAGACAGACTCCGGGAGAGCTGGGTACGGCGTCCCGGTGCCAAGTGCCTCCCTGGCAGCTGCCCCGCCGCCACCCCCCGCACACCCACCCCCCGCACATGCCTACAACCTGCCCACTGCAGGGTGGCCGCACACAGTGGGAGGAACAGAAACACCACAGGTACACGCACGGCCCCGATGTCATTTTTGTTTTAAGCCGTTTATGGTCGCTCCCAAGTACACGGACTTGCAAGGATTCTTTAGGGACAAGTACTTTGCAAGTATCTTTTAAAAATATATATTTCTATTGATTTCAGAGAGGGAGGGAGAGATGGAAACGTCGATGAGAGAGAATCATGGATCGGCTGCCTCCTGCACGCCCCCCACTGGGGATCGGGCCCACAACCCAGGCCTGTGCCCTGACCCGGAATCGAACCTGGGACCCTTCGGTCCACAGACCGGCGCTCTATCCACTGCGCCGCACCAGCCAGGGCTCGAGGATCGTTTTCACGTGCGTTCCCCCTAGCGGGAAGGCGAGTCGCTCCGTGCCCAGGGCCCCGGGGCTGTCTGGGCTGACTCTTGCTCCTGTCTCTGCCAGCACTGGCCTCCGGGCACTTCGCCCCGCGTTAAAGGTCGCCCTTCTTTCTAGCATTTTCAGTGGCTTTGCTTCCTTCAGCTGCATCTTGGACCCGTTCGCTTTAGCTGGCTGTGGTCCCGGGGGTCTGCCCTCCCACCGCCCGGATGAGCAGCCCGCGGCCCGCGCGGGGGAGCAGCCCTCACTCTCCCTCCGGGCGGGGACTTCTCCTCCGGGGCCAGGGCGCCCCCCCCGCCCCCCGCGGCTGGGCCTGGGCGCTCCGATCCCCGCAGGCCTCGCCTCGCACCCTCCTC